ACACAGATTGCATTCAAACATGTCTTCTTGCACATGTCACTTAGTCTGGTCTTTTATCTCCTTTTCTTTTATTTCACGTGACTTTTATTCCCTGTGGTCATAACACGTCAAGGTTACGCTGGTGCAAAATTGTTCTGAAATAGTGTATTCTCTACGTGGGTCTTGGTAAATGTATTGGAGAATTTTCATTATTTATCGAACTATATTATACTGACAGTGTGCCGTGGTATGTACAAGCGCTTCTTAGGAAAATCTATTCTCGGGAGTTTGTTGAGGGATTTTTTCTCAAAGACAGATGACTGATTAGTCCGAATTTTCAAAAAGCTTATTTTTTTTTTCTTACTTTCACTGTTAAAATTCCCTCCCTCCAGCTACGATTTTTCTTTGTAGCTTCATTTTATATTTGCTGCTCTACTGCATTATTTCCTGTCCCATGTTCAGTAAAAAGTGACTCCTGGCCGATTTTAAAATATTATTGTGCTGCAGGTAATTATGAAGATTGTCAAGCACGTTGATTCGGAGATGTACGCTGGTCTGAACGATGTTGCAGGCGAAACTTGTCAGGGCCTTCTGACTGGTAATGTTTTTCACGCTGAAGAAAGTGTGCCAGAGACATTTTGCTCAGTCTTAGCGCCTTTCATTAAAATATTTTTTTCCCTTTTCTCTGAAATTTTTCTGGCTCATTACTCGTTTCAATGTGGATTACCTCATTAATGCTGCTGTTGTATTAAGGCCTGGTGTCAACTGAGGAGCGACGCCTTGAAATAACAAATTGCTTTCCAACTGCTCGAGCCGAACCGGTACTTGATGGGGACGAGATTGGACAAACCAGTGCAGTTTATGAGGAGCAGAAGCAGTCAGAGATGTTGGATATGCTGCGAAAATTTAGGTTTCTTGTTAACATTTTCTCTTCTTTTGTAATCTTCAGAAAATTTAGGATTTTGTAACTCTAGAAAAAGAAGTAATATGTCAGAGCAGCATCTGAACTAGGCCTTAACCAAAATATTACCTTGTGATAACAGATGGCATTGTCAGAAAAATTTTTGTTTTCGGACAGCTTACGTATGTTTGTTGCAGAAATATGAACATCGACTATGAGCTTGTCGGATTTTACCAGGCACATCCATTCGGTGCTTGTTTTGCCCAAGAAATGATCGATTCACTGATTGACTATCAAGCCAGTGTGCCTGATGGAGTAGTGCTCATTTATGGTAAAATTTATCTACTTTTTTTTGGAATAACTAAGAAAAGTCAAAATTGTTGTTTTGCTGTTGTTAGGCCCGCCAAAGTCTGCTTCTAAGCAGCACCAGAAAGAGGGAACTGTCGAAAGTCGTTCCTTCATCCCCACCTTATCCTCGCTTATCCCATCAGGTCGATGCGAGCTGTTAGCATATGCTCACATTTCGTCGCTTTGACCTTCAGAATATTCATTTTTTAGATCCAGTGAAAACTCGTCAAGGACAGTTAAGCATACGAGCATATCGTTTGTCAGCGAAAGCTTTAGAAATGAGTTTGGATGGCGACTGGTCACCGGAGAGGTGAGATTTCTCAAAGTTTGTTTTCTATCGGAACAAGACGCGATAATGATTGGTTTCAAACCGACGTAAAATTAGATATCTTAAGAAATTACGGCATATTTGCTGAATGGCTTGCTATTCTTGGTGCTGTTCTTGTTTTCATTAGTTTTTAGTTTTCCTTCATATCACGCGTTAACAGCATAATTTACAGCTTTCAGTAGCATGCTTTGTTTATTCGTATTGATAAAGCTTCCATAATGGTACTGTTTAGTAAGATGTACTTTTGAATTAAAATAAAAAACATATTGAACATAGCACTCTCATGTATTAGAACTGTACATAATATATGCATGTATCGGGAAATAAAAGTAAAGCTATGTTTTTGTACTTAAAATCACACATCGAATAAGATGAAATTGACAGCGCTTGTCCGTGATATAACAGATTTATTTTTTGCCTAGCCGCTGTTTTCAGCCATTTTTATCGGTGTATGTTTCAGTACGCGAACAGCTGGGCTAAATTACGAGAATATGCTGGAGGAATTGCCTGTCGTTATCAAGAACAGCCATTTGGTGAATGTAATGCTCGCCGAGTTGGCATTGGATGGTGGCCGCGTTGCAACACAGCATCTCTCTTCCCATCTTGAACTCGGGACTGGAAGGCGAATTTTTTTTTTTAATTTGTTTAAGTGTCGTATGACTTTTCGAGGACTCAGGAAGTATGGTTGTTTGCGTTTTTTTTTTTTTTTTGCACTTATGTAAATGTAAAGACGCATGTTAATAACGCCGTGTTTATGGTTTTCCGTTTATTTACCTATTCGAATCCCGCAACGGTAGTTTAGTTCTGAAATGTGGAAAATGGTGACGTTGTGAAATAATTTTAGATAAGTTTGGGTACAAAAATACATTGGCTTCCTGCAACATACACCCTGCCGCCTATCTGTTTCGATTGTTTTAAATTATTTGTTGAAATGGGTTTGATCTCAGGTCGCTGGAGAAATGTCTCAGATCGTTAATGAGTAATGTGGATGATCTGAATAGGACAGTTATGGCATATACGAAATATGTGGCTGACAAGCAGCGTCATGATTTAACAGTATACAATGCTATGCAGAAAAGAGTAAGCACAATTTTTGGATATTCTTGAGAAATTAACACTTCTGAGTCTTCATGTATCCGTCTCGCTCATCGTACAAACAATATTCCTGCACTACTGGGTTGCTCAAGAAACGGGTGATATGTGGTACATCTATTTTTCTTTCCCGGGAAGAGAAAGACAAAAGCAAGGAAGCGAAGAATAGAATTGCTGAGAGGCCGGGCAGTAGGGGATTAAGTTTCGGTCTGGGCAGCTGTAAAGAGTGAGATATATTGGCGACGTGAGAAAACAACAGCTAGTCATGTTGTAAAAAATTGCTTCCCTGAACATATCTAAAAAACAATTTTTAGCAAGCAGAAAATGAGCAACGAGAAGCTCGTGGGGAGCCTCCACTGTCGTTTGATGACATCAAAAAGATGAAGCCGCCACAGCTAGCTGCAAAAAGTGGAATGCTGGAAAGCTTTTTATGTTCATCAGATGCAAATGCTCATGCCGATTATGCTGCTGAGGTTTGCTTGAACTATTTGCCACTGTTTTAGATGTCCAGTTTAATTACTGCATGCCTCCTCCAGTTTGTCCATTAACCGTTGGTTTAAGAGCAGAAAAGCATGTCAGCTGCATCGTGGCTCTTTACACTTTTTTTAACGCTTCATGCTATTTTAATGCGTGACTAGTAGACATTAAAATTCAGTTTTGCAGGTTACTGGTGAAAATATTGCAAAATTGTTTCTGGCGGAAGCAGTAGCCGGCTCTCATCGATAGAGCCATGGGGACACAAAAAGTTGCACAGTGAACCGTCTGATTTCTTTTCATCTTTCAAATTTTCTTCAACGGAAAAATTTTTCATATTGACACGTTAGTTGGAGCTGTTATCAGTAACATTTAAATGGCAGTTTTGAAGTTTTTTCCGGATATTGGGGGTTTTTTCTCGGAAAATGGTGTTGTGCGATTTTTCAAATTATGCATTTGAGGTTTTTGTTGTTTCTTGTCGCATTTTTGCAAAATGGCTTAAACTGTGTTCGGTTTTTGAATGAACCATCGAGTCTGCAGGCAGGAATTGCAGCGTGAATTTTAAAATTTTTTCGTTTATGTTGATTTTTATGAAAGGCAGTAAAAATGATTAAAATTTTTGCTTAACAGCTCACTTAAAAGGAATTTTTTCCTTAAGATTTTTAATCTGCAGAACTTCGAACATTAATTACGAGATGAAGTTTCAAAGATGTAAAAGGTTATGAGGAGGCTGTTAAGTTGCAGATAAAGTTTGTTTCTTTCCTCGAGATGGCTGCTGTCTCGTTTTCTTCCATTCTTACCTCTTCCTCGTCCCCCGTCCTCTTCAACTTCCGCTCTTTTGCCTTCCCTTTTTCTAGCTTGCTCTGATTCGGAAATGTCTAAAAAAAATTGAGGGGCCGGTGGAAAGGATAGGATGAGGGTGAAAGTGACATGGATTTTCTTCTGGTAAGTTTGCTGGAGTGTGAAAAGATGTATTATGTAGAAGGCAGAATCTAGGTGTGACCGTCGAAGTTAGTATCAAATCAGTGGCAACATACGTTCTTTGCACAGTTTTTCCCAAACATTCCTGTTGTTGAATAACACTGTTTTTTACGCCAGGCATTTGTAGAAGAATAGAAAGAATAGAAATGCGTATCGGTCTCGGGCTTGCTGTCATCATTTTTGTTATACGTTTTTGCATGTTTGTGCAAATGCAAAAGCCCATACTGTCCTTAGCCGAAGTCGGACAGGCTAAAGAAGCGGAATTTTAGGAAGAGTTAACTATTCGTGTGCGGCTTCAGAAGCAAAAAGCAGGACACTTACGGCTTATGTGTCGAAATACCGAAATTCTGTAGACAAAATCTTCAACATTCTTCCTTTACGATAATTAGACATGCTAGAAAACTAGATTTTCTTTCGCAAACAAGCGTAAAAATTAACATATGCTTTGCGGAATAAGAAGTGAACCAATGTAACGGTTCTCTTCTGGACATTCTATTGTGAGTAGAGCTGCGAAGATTACTGAAAGAGAGCCTTTGCAACAATAAGATATCATAAGCTGGAAAATGTTGCTATACTCTAAAATGTTAATGAATAGAAAGCCCCTCATCTAAAAAATCGTTGGCGACGCCCATCAGGCGGGCCCGTGCGATCATGGGGTTTTGTAATATTTCGTGCTGTAATGAGATCGCTCGGAAACCCAGTACCTAGAAGTGTGTGACGTACTGGTCCTCGAAGTCTGAGGGGTTGTCTACGCGGTATCTGGACAGGGGACATTTCGTCAAAATTTCAGCTTTCCAAATTTTCTTGAGTTAACAATTTTCCTGCCAGAAATATTCACGGGCCCGTGACAGTCACGTACGCCCGGGGGGCCGAGTTTGATAAATTTAAGTCATACATGGGTTGGGAACATCCTTTGAAAATTTCAACCTCCGGGCTTTTCTGAATTAGCCATTTTCCCGCAAAAAAATTTCTCGGGTTTGTACGTGAGTACCACGCACAATTAAGGGCTGAATTTGATAATTTTAAGTTGCACTCATGCTGGGAAAATTCCCTGGAAATTTCAGCTCCCTAGCTTTCCTGGTTCCCAAGTTAGCAATTTTCGCACCAGGAAGCCTTACGAGGCTGTACGTGGGAATCACGCACACCTGGGGCTGAATTTGAAATCTTCGAGTGCTATGCAGACGGGGGCATGACCTCAGAATTTCAGCTTTGTAGCTTTTCTGGTTCTTGAGTTAGCGATTTTCTCGCCAAAACTTTCACCCCCTCGTACGCGGGGCCTAGACTTGCATGAGGGTTGGTACCGCGCTCCTGGGGTGACAATTGGTCGGGGAGCAAAATTTTGGTGCCGAAGCTTGCTTGGGTGCCGAGTTGAAACACCGGGCAGGCGTACACAAACAAATACACACACACACACCGAGGTCGTCACAATAGCGTTTTTGCATTTGCATATAGGCAAAAAGTTCTCGGTTTTGCTGGTTACTTACATCTCTCCATGCGTCATTGTAGTCTTTTAAATAGCACTCTTTCGAGCAAAAAAAGCGGATTGTAGGTTTGCAAGGAAGTGGGTCTAATATCCAGCACTTCTGATGAACTGCGTGAAAAAATATTGCTTTTTCATGGCTTATTAAGAAACTCTAGCACCACTTAGGCTGAGTTTGCTTTCATTTTCCGTTTGCACTTTTCACTCTACCAATGCCTTCTTTAGTTCTCCCTGCTTCAGTAATTTTTTGATTTTTTTGCTGAAAAAACAACGCTTTTCGAGGGAGTCTGTTCATGGAAGACATTATCAAATTATTTCAATGAACTCCGTATGAATTTGCTTCACACATTTAGTAGATATTTTTTTTAAATGCTTCCGCAGAGTAGTTACTTCGTGCCGCTAATAGCTCAGATGAAGAAATAGGAAAGGAAGAAAATAGAAACAGGCAAAGGATCTTTTATTTATTGAAAAGAGCCTATTTTTTTCTGCTTCGTATTTATGCAATGACGGGCTGATGCAGGAGTCGGGACGATTATATGTCTAGCGTTAAATTCTGTGTGCGCAGTGGGCGCATATTTTATTATGTACATGACTCCTTCATGAACTGACACAGCGTGTGAAGAGTTCCAGAAGTCTGGATCCTGTTTGGTTCTAGAATTAAAACATCAGTAATTTTTTAAGTATGCGATGAAATCAAGCAACAGCACAGCTTGAAAATTGGTTTAGAGCAGTCTTATCAGTTTGCACGATCAATAAATGCTAAAATTTCTCCGTCCTGAGCTGGCATTCTATGTGCCCCTATGATACTTTACGTTTTGAATCCTGAGCTTAAAGACATGATGCAGCGATATTTGGAATTTATTGCAGAGCAGTTATTCTAATGGCAGTTAATAAAAGACTCGGCTCCGTAAAATTAATTGGTTGGGAGTAGTCTGAGATGTTGTTCTGAAGCCGAGATTTTGTC